GCAATAAGACCGATCTTATTTAATCTAGTATCAGCGGCTAGTTGTTAGAACTTAGCAAAGTAGGAAGTAAAGCTGCGCTTCCCTTAACGTAATCCGCTTAGTTAGCTAAGTGCTGTTAGCTCTTTATTTGGGTCTCTGTAGGTAGCTTTAAGGAAGGTAACAAGCTAGTCTACAGTATGGACGTCCTTGTCTATAAGCGGGTCAATAAGGGCTACAGCGTCCTTCTCTAGTCAAGAGTAGGCATATAGCAGGCAGGATCTCTTGTTCGGGTATCGGTCAGCGTTACCCTCGAGCTTGTACCTTAGCTTGCGGACGAAGGTAGGGAGGTCCTTTCGTTAGCTATTGAACAAAGGCAGGTTAGGCAGGCGGTCGGTTCGGGGCAGGTCCTTAAGGCTCGCAGTTAGCGGCGTCACAGGCTTTAAGCTACTTCTAGATGGCTCCTCGAAACGAACTTGCCTAGCTTTAGTGTCGGTACGGGTAAGAGCTAGGGTAGTAACAAGAGCAGACCTAGTCTTAATAGTCTCTATCTCTTAACAGAGCTCTAATATCTGTTGCGCGTGTCGATTCTCTTACTTGGCTAGGTTAGCAAGGAGTGCTTCGTTGCTAGCCTTCAACGCAGCTGAGTCTGCTTAAATTACGTTTAGCTAACGCAAGATTAGCTGCAACGCGTTAGGTTGTTCGTAGGTAGTTATAGTAGGTTGACGCAACGTAATGTCACGAGATGCTACGAGCACGTGTTTAAGAGCTTACTAGAAGCGTTAATTGTGGCTACGTACGATATCTGGTGTAATACAAGACGTTGCGTAAGGAAACAGAATCAGCATGTACAGGCGGTAAGAAGTTATCGATGGGGGCCGTGCGCATGGCGCTAGGCCCGGCCGGCCAATCAGCAGAATCCTGGTGCTTGGCGGAGCACTCGGATTCTGTAGCGCGTTCAGTGTCAAGGGAACCACGGTGGTTACCGTGACAAAGCCTCTGTAGCAGCTCGTGAGCCCTCGGTTGGCGGATCGATCGCGTTGTCGGGCAGCAGGTCGCGCAGCTGCGATTCGAACGGAGCCTTCTCTGTAGCTTGACTAGCTGCAACCTTAAGGGCTTTGCGTGGTGAGGTTCGTACAGGCAGCTTAGACTGCGATTGAGAGTTTCGTTGACTTTGACGCGTTTATTTGACGCAGCAGCGCGATCAGCAGCGCGTTTGAAGGCCTTCGGAGGCATAACAGATAGTAATAGCGCGTAAGGAGCCTTAGAGATAACAACAATAGGCGCTAATATAAGATATAGGCTAATGTTAAATGTTGATACTACGTCGCAGAGTAAGCTAGTTAGATCAGAAGGTTGCTTACTAATCGAAACTTAACACCACTAATATGTCACCCTATTAATATTATCTACTGCCTAGCAACCTTATTAACTACCTTGGAAATCGCCCTAGTATTAGTACCTGATTAATCTGATCAATCAATTCAATCAAAAAGAGGGCTTTAATTTGTTCTTGATTGGAAAAACGCTATGGGCGAATTGATCTTGACTTGATTGAGCTTTTGATCAAGAATCAATCAAGTCAATCAAAAAACTTGCTTGTTGGCATGTCTGGTCGGCTTGCCACCATAACATGCCCCACTCTCTAGATGTTGAGCTAACCCACTTAGAGTTGTGAATCGCTTTTCCTTTCCTCGCTTTATTCTGACCCTGCTAGAGTCTACTGGGAGGAGGTTACTCGGGCAGTGGTAGACCTTGTCGCAGTGTGCTGGAGAGATTATGTGCTGCTGAAGAGCCTGCACTGTAGCAAAGGCTCTGCGCTTCCTCGGACAAAGGGGACAACGGAGTTCGGGCTCGGTTTTGTCGAGCGAGAGAAGACTATCTCTAAGCAGCGACTAATCTACTAAACTACCCTCCGCACTTGCCCAAGAGTGTGTGGGAGTGATTAGCGACCCGCTATCTGCACTATCGAGAGACGCTGTCGGCGTTCCGGGCTGAAGAGATAGACGGTGTGCTGAGAGGTGGGTAGAGCTCGAAGGCGTGAGTGTGGGGAGGCTGTGAATTATACGATCCTTGTCGTACAGCTGAACGATGTCGTAGATGTCATCTCGGTCCATGCCTAAGCAGCACCTTCCACTTTCTAGATGGTGCAGCAGAGCTGACGGGGCACTGAACTTTCCTCTGCACCCCTCTCCTACAGGACAACGTAGCGCACTAAGTGGCTTGTGCTTTATTGACTTGAGATGCTGTTGGAGAGACTGGGAAGAGGAAAAGGTTCGCTGACATCTCTTGCATGTCTGATCATCCACACTCGCTATAGTGACTTGTCTAGCCTTTCTTGCGTTGCCGTGAGGCTTTTCCTGCAAAGGCTTCCGATGCGCACGGCTCGCTATGTGTGCGTTTAAGGCATGGATGTCTTTGAAAGAGATGTCACAGTTGCAGCACCGGTATTTAGAAGCATGGAGTTCTACCTCGCGGTGAGCCCTCCAAGCGCTCTGGCTTTCGAAGGACAGGTCGCATTCCGAACAGAAACAGTGTCCCGTAGCGATGCGGTGGTCTTTAAGGATATCTAGGCGCTCACATAGCTTGCCGCAATAGCTGCATTTGCGAATGGCAAAGTTGTACTGAGCCACTGGAGGATGTTTGCAGAGATAGCTGCAGACATGTGAAGGAAAGTGCCCTCGCGCTCTTCGATGTTCTTCTAGGTTAATCGCATGCGTATAGGTGCGGCTACAGAAACATTCAAGACGATTGGCTGAGCGAAGGGTCATTTTGACGATTAGATCGATGGCGAGCGAATCAGTTACAATTAGGCGCAATGAGAAAGATAGTGGATAGCGAGGAGAGGGATGGGAAAATGACGGATAAATAGTTGCTAGTCTTTTGTCTACTCTACGAGCTTGTTTGTCGTGATGTTGGAGCACTAAGTACCAACCCCGCTCTAGGAGCGAATGAAAGCTTCTTATCCGTTGATGCTGTCTGAATCACGAGAGTGAAGGTGATAGGACCGATGTGATCAGAAGCTTACCAGCAAGTCTACCTTGGCCGTAACTTTATCTCTGTATCTACCCCGCACTACCTTGATAGCGCAGTGCACGAATTAACCTAGCAGGTATTACGTGAGATGAGAGCGATTACGGAAGACAAACCAACGAACTTGCTCTATTATATATCCGTACAGAATTAGCTAACTTAAACATAGCGGCGTTAGTCGTAAGAAGAAAGTATTAACAACGAGTACAAGAAGTGTGGAAAATCTGCTGGTCTACAATAGTGCTAGAGATATCGCGGTAGAGCTGTACTCGAACTACCAAAGGAGATTAGAAGCACGTGCTTGTGATATTGTGAAAGAGCGTGAGAAGAGGGAGCTGCGACTGCAAACTTGAAACTCTAAATCTGAAACTACATACCTGAGGACACTGCGCCTGAAAAGACTGCGAAGGCACATAAGCTTGAGACGGCTAAGGAGAAGCGCATAGCGTGTGATGTAGACAAGGTAGTGCTGGAGAGAAGAACGTCTGGAGATGTCTGCATTTGAGATTTGCGCTGCTATGCCTCCAGGCTACTGGGTTGGAGTGATTTGGCATAAGTTCGAGTGTCGCATGATACTACAGAGGCGGTCAGACGCCTTAGCAACACGAGTAAAACTTTGACCGACGCTTCTGTTAGACATCAGCTGCATCCTGATATAGAAAACAAAATTTCCTCACGATCTTCCTCTAGCGAGAACCTGGAGTCTGAGACGGATCTTAGCGTCTTTAGGATGGTCTTCCATTGCGGCTAGCGGAGACGCCGCCAATGCTGATACTGGCTTGACACGTTCTTTCCTTCTTTTAATGTTGCCTGGCGATCTGGCCTGCATCGTGTGTAGCGATGTAAAGGCAGAAGAGACCGCTGAGCTGAGTGTGCTGATACGGCGGAAGTACTTGTAATGTAGAAGACGGTGACTGTGAGTTTGGCCTGGAGTTGGAGCCAATTCTCTCCCTCACAAGCACGAGCAGGGCTTCTTATAGAACTAAGGGTTTGTAATTAGGTCTCCCGTCTGTGTTTATAAGAACAAGCCCAAACATGCATAGACAAAGATTAGCACGAAAGCAGACGAAGCTTAACGAGGAAAAGAGCTGCCTCCTGCATAGAGTGCCGTGAATGTACAGGTGCAACAAGACATTGTAAACAAGGATGCTTAGCGCTAGGCAGTTGATCTATCCTCACGTAGGCTGCTCTAGAGTGCGAACTATCTACGGTAACTGTGGAACACGAAGTAGGGTGCTGGCTAAAGAGGACTAGCGTGACAAGCACGAGAGAACAAATGTCTGGTGCTTGCCACGCTAGGCCCGAAACGCCACCAGCAGAAAAGTACCAGGCAGCATCTCATGCTACTCCGTAAACATCCCTACTTAGAGCATTAAGGCTACAGGAAGTATGGAGACAGCTATGACGAGCAGAGTCTTGTACATTAGCATCTCTCTTGCGCTATCTTTCTAGCTTGATGTGGCGGAGAAAGGAACGCTGGGCGCGGAGGGCGCGGAGAAGTTTCGGGTCGCATTGGTCCTGTTGTCCTAGTAGGGTAGTGGCAGGCGGAGGGACGGGCTGGTTGGGAAGAGAAGAGGCCGCGAGCCTGTCGCATCTGCGGCGCTCAGCGCGCTCGTAACAGCAGTCGTCGTCGTCGTCGTCTTGCAGGTCTGGTTAGTAGTGTTTGCAACAGTGGCGCTACCCTCTTGTCGCTCGAACGACGCAGTCGACAGCCCGACGAGTACCAAAAAGTACAAGAGTCTCATTGCGAAAGGCGGCATGTTCCCGTTCAATACCGGGAATGCTCCTCAAGTACATTGTACATTGACTAAGAGCCAGATTAATGTAGACGATCCTCTAACTCTATGCGCAACACTTTTGTCGAGGCCAGCACAAAGATGCGGGCCAGTACATTCTTCACGCGCATCCACTGCACCTACAAATACCGTCGGAGCCACGCAACCCAGAAACAACATCTCACCGCTGTCTTTATCATACTATAGACCACAAACATGGAGTCCATCGTCTCTAAAGTGCACACCTCGCTCGTTGACCTCGCAGCGACATATGCAGACGCCGGGCGTGAGAACGTCACGCTCAGTCTGATGGCAGACTTCCAGCGCGCTGTGTTCCCGCTGCTCGATGAGCGCATTCGCATCAAGGACCTCGAGCAGTCCGAGGAGCTTAGGGACGAGATGGTACAGCTGCTTGGAGACGAGCATCCCACGAAGCCTGCATGGCCCTACCTCAACCAGCTGGATAAGCAGGACAGGTGCTTCGCCAAGATGGGCTGTAAGTTTCAGCTCGGAGCAGGACTCTACAGGTCGCCGTCATGCGAAGAGCACTTTGTGTGCAAAAACCACCAGTCGAGCCCTTGCATTGCAAAGCACGAGCAGGCATCGGACTATATTAGCAAGACTAAGCACGATGGGAAGGAAACAGCTGCAAGCCCAGAGAAGCCGGAAAACGAGCCTAGAGTGAGGGCAGATCTGGCAAAAAGTATGTTTGGGGATGATAAAATAGACAGAGCAGATGCAGTAGAGAAGTCTGCGGGTAAAAGAGACGCGGACGACGACTGATTGTCCGAGCCTTAGGCGGAAGAGATTCCCGAGAAGGAAAAGCCAACTAAAGAAGCAGCGGCCAAAAGGGCGGCGGACGCAAGGGCTTTAGTTTCTTTCGCCGACAAACTAGGAGATTTAAAAATGGCTGACGAGGGCAGTGAGAAGCCGACAGCTCCTTCCATGGCAACGGAATCTACTGCGGTAATGGAAGAAAACCCAAAGCGCGGTGACAAAAAGGCGGAAAAGAAAGCTGTCGACGAAGAGCACCGCCCTGCGAAGTTCAAGGTTGAAGACGCGCAGTACCTTTCCGTGGACGACTTTAGCTACGACCGCGGCAGCTTGATGAGCGAGGTCTAGGTGTGCTAGCTGCGAACAAAATCTGGGGCGCTTGTGTGGGTTCCGATGGAAGACTACCTTCGGCTCAAACACGAGTACGTTAGGCTAGCCTCTAGCGACGAGAGCGAGTGGGACGACGGGATCGTGAAGGGAGAGGACATAAATCGGCAGAATGCGGATGTTGGAAAGTAGACATGGCGGCAAGAGGTCAACATCGAACATGCGCAACCACACGTAGGCTTTCTACGGTTTTCTTAGCTAGAGGTGTCTTTGCGTTACTGCTATCTGTACGAGAAGATGCAAATCTAGATTCGTGCCTCTACAATGAATAGATCGAAACAAATATAAGAAGTCTTCTGCAACAACCTCTTCTTCTAATCATATCTTAGTGTTAGCGCAATCTTCTCAAGAGGCTAAGTTGGCTGCAAGACGAGTGGATTTGGGGAGCTAATTGTTAGAGCACAGCCACTGGGCTACACTCTAACGCCCATGCGCACAAGCCTATTCTCTCTGCTTTACAAAGTAATGTTACTACAGAGACCCGGCTGAGGTCTAAGACAGCTCTCGTTGGCAATCGCTGCTGGCGGTGGCAGAATGCATTGGGCTGCTTGATCTGGAGACTGCAGCGAAAAGACAGAGCAGTCTTCGATTAGCCCCGACGAGTTCGTGCAGCTGCCGATCGCCTGCTGTAGTATGTCTACCTTCTACCCATTCTGAAAGTCTCTGTGGTAGCTTGAGCCTAAAACTGCGTGAGACAAGGCTCTTAGGAAGCGGGCGCTCTTACCTGTCCGATCGCCGTTGCTGAGCAGAAAGTGCCTAGAAACATTTCTGAAGACAGCGGTGTTCCAGATGGTCTCGTAGAACAGGGCCGGAATGCAAGCGTCGTAGTGTTCGGGACACGCGCCCTCTATGACTAGATCTGGATAGGCTACGTGAGACTTGTGGTCAGCAGTGCTAGGAGCAACACCGTCCCAGCACGACGGAAACATCAGCTCAAGGCGAAGGCCGTTCGCGCAGTTTGCATCGATGAACGTCTTGTTCAGAAGCATATAACGCGTGAGGGCGCCTTCGGAATGGCCACGGTAGTTTAGGCAAGTGAACCTAGTAGCCTTTTCTGCGAGCGCTTCTAGCGTCTTGTCGTCTAGGCCCCACAGCGACTGCGGGATGTTTGGAGTGCGCACAGGCACATTCCGCCTGTTTGCGTCGCCGGCAACTATCGCGAACCCTGGGGGGAAAGCCGTAATCTTCTCCCTGAAGAGAAAGTAGTAGCTGTAGCGGCATTAGCCTTGGCTGTCAGACTGGATCTCCTGTGCCTACACTACCATTCCGCTAACTTGGGGGACGATCTTAATGCTACCGTTCGCGTGGGAGAACATCAGCGGCGGTGTCTAGTAAGCAGACATGTCCTTGAGGACCGCGCACGTGGTGCAGCTGGACTGCAGTAGGGCATCGTAGGAGGAGGAGAAACCCAGGTCTAGGCTAAAAGTCAGGCACCGATCTTTGACGCTCACACCACACGTACTCTGTCCCCCGTGCAGCGTGTGCGCGTGTTGCGACGGGCGTCCTTTCGAGACGATGGGATCGATTCAAAAGACGCCTAATCGAGCATAGCACGGGAGCCGCCAGAACGCGCTGGCGACTGAGGAAAGCACGTTCATATGCAGGATCAGCCTAAGGACTATACTTGAGCTACAGACGCGAAGCATGGGATTTATTTGTTGATTTGTTTCTACGGACTTGCACACTAACGCCTTGATATACATTCTTCTGCGACTACAAAATGAGGGCGCTTCTTTTCTTAGTTCACGTTAGTTATTATGCATTGATCTTCTTCTAATTTGCGAACTGCGCAGGGTAGAGAAGCTGCTGCTGTTTGTCCAAGTCCGTATACGTTGTATCGTCGGGTAGGTCAAACAGCTCTAGGAAGTCTGCGTGAAAGCGTTGCCTGAGCGACTTCCTGGACTGTGGTCTAGCAGGAGTCTGCTTAAGTCGCATGTTTGGTGGGGGCGCAGAGCGACGCGGCGAGATTGGAGGTTTCACGGGCGCGGGGCTTACTGCCGGTTTAGCAGTAGCGTACCGCGATCCGCTCCTGCGGGAGGCCGCCTTTCTCTCGTGAACTAACTCACGGAGCGGCTTAGGCCTGTCCGGCGCCCCGCTCATACACTTTTCCTCGAACTTGTTCTCTAGTCTGACTGCGATGTTGTAGAATGTAATCGACTTTTGCTGGTCGTTATTCCCTTCCATGAGAAGTTTCATCGTAGATCTAGTTTCGTGGCTGTAGCTAGTCTTGTTCTCGATGTCGTATGTCGACGCGTAGAGCGCGGGATCTAGATAGACGAAGCAGCGGGTGTGGGGCCGTCTTCCTGCAAAGTCGGGAGCTAGCACGTCAACCTCGGCGTCGTGTCCAACGCCCATCTTGGAGTCCCAGTACACCACCAGCACCTTTACTTTGCTCAGTATGTCCATCGGAAGCGTTAGCTTATTATCTTTGTGGTGCTGCACGATCCTCTCGACGATGCGGTTGCTGCGCTGGGTGACGTCTCTGGTTTCCCGGTACCTGGACCCGGCTGGGAGGGTCGACTCGAAGCGAGCGCTGTACGCATCGGCCGACCCATACCTGATACAGTAGCGAGTCTGGGAGTTTCTCATGATGTGACCGAAGGCCTCTCTGTTGTGGTTCTGCAGCGAGGGCTCGATGTGTCTATCGTCGACGTCGACGTTCCACGCCATGTCGAGGTCGTCGACGAGTCTGTTAGTGGATGCTTTTGGTTCTTCCCGTGGCTCACGTTTGACGTTTCGATCTTTCGAAAGAGCTCCGAGAATGTTCGCGTGTGTCGGTTCGGGGTCTGGCGTATTGACCGTAGCACGTTGTCCTGTCACATCTAGTCCTCCCGTGTCTGGTTCCGTCGCTTCCTGTTGCATCGCATCCTGTGTTGTAGTACCCTGGATCACGGTGTCACTGTCTGACGTTGCACCAGCCTCTGGACTGGCTACTGTGCCAGGGTTCGTGTTTGCTTGCGCCATGGCGCTATCGTACCCGGCTAGTGCCCTCTCTATCTCCTTCAGTCTCTGGTCGTCGTCGTCGGTAAACATGTCCTGTTTCTGTGCCTCTAGCAGTTTCGCTTGTTCTGCTTCTAGCTTCCTGTACCTGTCGTCATGGTGAGCTATTGCCGATTGCTTCTGACCCCGGGTCTTTGGCTCTCGGTTGGTGCTGGATTTATTGATTTTGCTGATAGGACTCATGCTCATGTGTGCCTCTTGTCTGTTTCGAAGACAGCCTGCATCGAGGCGCTTCTACTTATACAGTGGGCAGAGCTAGTGGCATAACATCAACAAGAGGGCGCCGCTAGATTTGCGCACCCCATCCTCTTCAAGCACTTTTTGTGTATTCGAATGAGCACCAAGTCAGATTTTCCGTTCGTTAGTAACTTGGTGCATATTTTAACCCTATAGGCCAAGTCACATCTCAGTAGACCGAAGCGAATCCTTCTACCTACTAAACTGCATGCTATTCTAGGAGCTCATGCAAGAGAACACTGAAATCGGATCTTAACAATAGCTGGCTCTTTTTGTTATGTTGAAGAGTGTTTGCACATTATGCTGAACTACACACATATATTCACTACGCCCCTCCGTCCCTGCGTCTTTCTAGCAGCCGACCCGAGAAGACCTCCTCCTGAGCATACTCGGGAATGGGAGGTCTAGACAGATATCCAGGCAGAGAAGCGTTCTTTGTAGCTGGTGGTGATTTCTTGGGGGGTGGCGCCTTGGAGAGGAAGTCCTCGCTCGTCTTTATGATAGGCACTGGATATGTTGTTTCCTGTGATGTCAAACAAGGACATGTGGCAAGAGTCCCGGCAACCTACAAGCTGTGTGGAGGACGGCGGCTAGTCTCGCCGTGCTGGATCTGAATTGTAGATGTACAGCTGGCCGTTGCTCTTCTGGATGCACAGCCAGACCCCTACGTTGTACTGGTCGCTTATCTCATGTCCGCGACGGAGGAAGTTGTTCTTCCGCTTTCGGAAGGACTCCTGCTGCAACCTTTTCGAGGCCATAACAATCTTGTCGAACGCTAGTTGCAGGACGTTGGGCCTCTTATTTATATGTGGCAAGCGCGCACTGACCACCGTTGTACTATATCAGCATGCCTAGACGTTGCACCTAGCCTGTCCGGACATGGATCGCCCGCTCAGCCCTTTCATCTGGTACGCTGTTCTGTTCGCAGGGCTCGTAGCCTTCCTTGTTCTCTGTTTCAGCATTCGCCTAGCCCTCCGATGGCTGGCTGCACCTGTAACAGATGCCATGCTCAGGTATCTGGTGTACTCTACGACGAGCGTCTTCGGGCTATCTAGCTGGCGCGTCTCAGCAAAAGATGTGCTGTTCGCTGTGCTGTATGTGAGCGCCAACGGAGTTTGCATGGGCTGGGGCGTGAACGCCGCCGAAGAGCTAAGCCGCCGGTCCGCTTCGATGCCCGCGACGAATCTCATCCTCCTGCTCCCCGGCGCCAGCATAGCCGCCGATATCTTGTACGTCTCGTTGAGAACATACCATCAGACTCACAGCATAGTCGGCCTGGTCGCTCTGATCGAAGCTTCTATCCACGCCGGTCGTGAACTCACCGCACGCAGGTGGACTGGCGATGTCAACACAATAAGCGGGACGGCGGTACGTGTGTATGTGTCTTTTTAGTGCGGCGATCTTACACAACCAGATATTCGGATGCCTCGTGCTGACGAGTGTCGCTTCTCTGCCCGCCTTCCGTCGCCGTGCGTACGAGATATTCCGGATGATTCACTTTGGCTGCTCTACATCGATATGCATATTGCTATGGCTCCATGTCCCCAAAGCAAACAAAGCTGGGCGAGCTCAAGTCATCGTGGGGACATGTATCTGGGCAGCGACCTACGCGCACAGAAACATCCTCCTCGTCTATCGCAACTTCTCAGTGAGCAAACCCAGCACCCGCATCCAGGTGGAGAGCGTGCACAACAGTCTCCAAGTCAAGGTCAGGCTCCCTAGGCCCTGGAAGGTCAGGCCCCGTCAGTATGTCTACCTTACCATGATGAGGCCTGGATTCTTCTCGGTCCTCCAGCGCCACCCGTTCATGGTGGCAGGGTCGGAGGCGCAGGACCACGACTTCCAGCTGCGCATCCAGCCGAGGGCTGGCTTCACGAGTCGACTCTTGACGCGGACCCTTGGCGGAACGAGGGAGTTTAGCGCTTTCGTAGAAGGGCCCTACGGACACGGATTCGACTTGCAGAACTTTGGCACGGTAGTTCTGTTTGCGAGCGGGATTGGAATCGTCGGCCATCTTGCGTACATCCAGAAGCTCGTGCTCGACTACCGGCAGTCCAAGACCAAGACCCGAGATCTTCTCGTGGTCTGGCACGTGGACAACAAGTACCAGCTGGACCTGGTGTGGGAGGTCATGAACAACGTGCTGAGGAGAGACGATCTTCCGGCGACTGCGATGCGCCGAGATGCACGCGCTCCCTACGGAAGCGGAAAGATGGACCGACACTTGGGCAGCAGCAGTAGCAGCAGCAGCGAAAGCCCAGGCTTACGGCCTGCGCCGCACGGAGAGAATGCAAGTGTTGCAGCATGGCGACCTAATGTCACCAAGCGCTAATGCTTTCCAGATTATCGACGTCTACATCTACGGCGACTACGAGATACTAGACGAGGCAGGACAGGCAGTGCCCTACAAACGTGCGGGCAGCCGCATTGCTGAGGTGCAAGGAAAGCCAGACGTGCGGCAAATCACCAGCGACGTGCTCGAAACGGGCGTGGGAAGAATCGCAATCTGCGGTAAGCTTTGTGATTTTCTATTGCTACAGTAGTTCCATTCATTAACCCAAGCAGTATGCGCACACCGGCAGATGAGGCACCAGGCGCGAGACGTGGTTGCCCGCACGAGCCGTAAGCGGGTGAGGTACCGGGAGCTAGACTTCCAGCCGTTTGAAGTGAGGAGGTCTACTAGAGGAAAGAGGTCCTTGCCGATCAAGTGTCGCGGGATCGAAGCAGCTTAGATAGAAAACAATGCACCCCAGATTCACCTCAAATCCACCCGTCCGTCGACATGGCAGCCGTTTTGGGGCTCTTGGCTGCTCGGTAGGGCGCTATGAAGGCGTCAAAGGCTTCCTCCTGGTCGTGGCGAAGCTGGTCTACCGCGTCCACGACTGCCTTGGAGAGGTCTCGAACTTCGTCGAAAGCTGTTTCGTCGAGTAAACCGACAATGCATGCGTGAAGCAGATCCTGGGAGATGGTGCCAATCTTGTCCTTGAACTTCTCTGCGTGCCGATAGCACTCTCGGTAGAAAGTAAGCTCTAGCCTCAGCTCTCCGTTTCTGCGATTGAGGAAGTCAATGTACTGGACCACGTCGCGGGGCTGCTTGGACTTTTGCATGTAGCGGGGCTCCATCTCTATGGCGATGGTCTGGCCTCCGTAACATCTCACCACGTGATCGATGGCATTGGCTTCAAGAGGCCTTGCTCGAGGCGGTTGTCTCACAGCCGGATCCATGGTGAGGAGCGACGATCTTTGGGGAGCGCGTCTTAAGTCTCGTAGACGACCGTGGGCAAGAAAGTGCGGCCGGGTTTGTTTTATAAGCCTGCTGCACGAGCATCGCCCACCGATCATCCGCCGATATGGATTCTCGACGACTGACTGTCTTTCCGAGAACAGGAAATGGCTCAGACAACGCCAGATTTGCCGGCCGCAACGGTGACACTCATCCGCCCCAAGCTCCAAAGCGAAAAGTTCAAAGCGGCAAAGAGCCGGCAGACCCCAAGCTTCCAAAGCTTGCGCCAACGCTCCGAGTCAAACGCAAAACGTTCACGCCAATCGACAGAGATCCCGAGCAACGCTATCGGTGCATACACAGCGTGGATCCAGAAGGAGAGAGACCCTACTGCCTAGCCCAGGAGATTGCTTCAGACGCCGCCGAGCATGCCTATCAGGTCGTGATGATCCGACGCAGCCCAGACAAGCCCGTTGTGGGCCTGGACAAGCCGGATCCGAATCTCCTCAACATCGTGTCTGTCTTTCGGTTTCGAGATTCTCTGTTCACCGTGTTCGACAGACCCGGCCTTCCCCTGTCTGAGATTGCCGTGTCTCACTCTCCTCAGCTGGGGCTAGCCGAGGTGAAGACGATAAGCACAGAGGTAGGACTGTCGGATGTGCAACTGTTCTCGTCGTAACAGTAGAGCAGGCGCTTTCTGGTATCTGCGCTCTGAGCGCAGCAGGCCTTCATCTGCCGTCGATCGATGTAGAAGACATCACGGTCTCTGCAAGCGATGGCCAAGTCAAAGTCGGTGAGTACAACTCGTGTCTTAGAGGACTGCTGACCGCTGAACGACAGTGAGCATTCGACCGGGCACCGCTGCACGAGACAGCAGTAGACGACAAGTCCAGTGCTTTTGGGGTCATGCTAGAAGATCTAGTGTCCCGTGTCCCGAGTCCTTCGGCGCTGCAGCAAAGCGACGACCTCCAAGCTTTTGTCCGACATGCCGACCAGGCAACATATCGAGAGCTACAGAAGGTAGACATGCTTCTTGCAAGTGACAAAACGAAACTAAGATACTGCAGGACGGCTTTCTGGAAGACTCGCTGCCCGCGCCGTCGCTGGTTCCTTTTGTGGTAAATGCCCAGATCATAGTGTTTCCAGTCGAGCATGTTGCAGAGGCTCGCATTACCGAGTTGGCGATGTCACAGCCACTGATGAAGTAGTTACAGTACATGATTAACGACACTCAGATGCATTATTGTCAGAGATTTGCTCAGCCCTTGCTTGCCGACATCTTCCCCCGTCGTGGTTTCTTTCGCCGCCCGCCTTCAGCAGCGAGCTCGAGAGCCTTGTTCAGACTTGCCAGCTCATTCTTCCCCTCCTCGACTTGCTGGGACAGTGTCTCAATCTGCTTCGAGAGCGCCATGTTGCGCTGCTGCAGCTCCACGTTTTGGTCCATGACGTGCTTCAACTTGGTGAAATGCTCGTCTTCCGAATGCTGGCCAGATACTGCCTCTACAAGCAGTGCATTTTTGGCCGACTCTAGAATCATCGCACTGATGCTTTGGGCATTGTCTGACTCCCCTGCTTCACCTCTAGTCAGCCTGGTCTGAGGGCTATTCACCAGGCCTTCGACGCGCCGGGCGACCTCGTCAGCAAATGTCTTTGAGTCTTGCGCAGATCTATGGAGATCTTTACAAAGCCTCTCGGAGTCCTCGTATTCTTTCAGAAGCTTGAAGTGACATTCTTGCAGCTCTGCGAATTGCTGGTGGAGCAGCTCGTGACCCTGCCGCTCGCGTTGTAGCTCCTGCTCGGTCGCAGCGACTTGGCGCTGTGTGTTGCTAATCTCGTTCTGAGCCGCTTGGAGGTGGCGATGCATGCTGTGCAGCTGAGCCTGGCCGTGATGATACAAGTTGCTCATCTGTAGCGCAGCCTCGACACAGCATGTCGGGTGGCGGGGCTCGATGCTTCCCTGATGCTTAGAGTCAAAACCAAGCACACCGACGGAGCGAGTAGCCTACCTCTGAGGGTTGTCTTGGTGATGTCTGACGTGGCTTTGGGTGGCTCATCTCAGCAGATTCAGCGAAATGTTCTGTTAGATGTAGGGTCACCAGAGCGAGAAGCGGTCTAGATATTGTACTGACATACAGCTTTGCCGTTCTATCACAGTACCACAGTAGCAGCATAGCGGTAAGAGTAAGGGCGGGCAAGATATCGAAGACTGTGCGAGAGCAACAACGCGGCATTGCGTCAAGATGCTGCTTCATGCCACAGGCTAGTGTTCCAGGTAGAACGTGCTGCCGTTGTGATCCGGCTGGATATCTGTTGCCGACAGACGAGGGAGCCGTCACCTCTGCGCATGAAGATGGCTACTATGCGCTTCTAGGTAAAAGAGCTCAGTGCTCGTCATGGTATATCCTCCACCGCCGCGCTAATCCAGGTTCAGCGTATGGGATTGACACTGCACAATCTGGCGTCGTAAGTGGAAGACACCGACCCACACAAAGATCAACAAGGTTCTGCACTTGGAGCTTTCTGGCTTGGGTGAGACCTTCCTAGCCAGTGGATGTATGCTACTCCAACAAAGCGGTACGGCTCCACCGGCTCGGAACGGTACGGTTGAGGGCACTGGGCTGGTGGAGATGACACTTTGAGAGCAGTATCTAGCTACAGTAGCTACTGAATTTCTGACAGCCGCAGTTCGAGAAGCTATGGCTATGGAGTCGATGTCTCACAGGGTCGGCATCGTACTGTACAGCACTCTACTGACCCGGAGTACGACTACCGGCTACACTCGGAAGCGGCGGACCTTGCTTTCTGCTGTCAAGACATGCTAGAACAAAGTTGCTGCTCGCGGCTTCTTTGTCGCACTGTGCCACCCACTATAAGGACTTGCACCTTTCGCTAGGTCTTCGGCTAGCATCTAACATGGCTTCGAGCGATCAGAATGCGTGGTTCTCTGAACGACCCGCCCTGTTCTCATCTTTGGACGCACTCATGGCCCCTGGGCCATCCAACACTTTCAGCTCTCGCCTGCCGCCCATCCCAGAGAAAGATTGGGATCGTGGATGGGAAGGAAACATGTTTTCCTTACCAGAGCCGTACGAGGGCTTCGAACAGGCCTCCACTGCGGCCGTCGAGTCTGCTGCCCACGAAAGCGCACCGCCCCAGACACACGAGGAGCTGGCCAAGCTGCAAGAAGAGGTTCGACAGCTACGGCACGATATCTCAGAGCTTCACGGCATGTTCTGCAAGCGGCTGGACAGCATGGAAACAAGCATTGGCGTGGCGCAACGCTACGTCAACAACTTGGTGCCTTGGTCGATGGAAGTTCACGAGAAGTATTCGAAACTACTGGCGGTGGCAACGAAGCAGGAGAAGCGAGCGACAGACGGTGCTGTATGATCTGGTCGATAGAGATGTCCTACTGTAGTCTAATTTTCTTACACTTTCGCTTGTAAATGCTTGGTGTCTGTGCTCACGTCTTCGCTCACATCTTCTACTGCTAAGTGAACTCATTACGGGTGTGGTGATGGAGCGCAATCTGGGACTTGCTCAGCACCTGAATGGCAAATAATAATTATAATAATAAAATCTAACGACAATAAAGCAGAAAGTAGGTCTTACTCGACCTACGGAGATTGTGCGGCCATGTCAGCCTGTCTGTTCCTGCAGTAGCGACTTGGATATCAGTACCCCACGCCTACACGGTTCTTGCCCGTCTCCGGCGTGCTTGGTCGTATCGCGTGCGCTCGGCGATGTTATCTTGAGTGAGATGATCATAGCTTTTCCGGTCCCCGCGCCTCCGTTGCAGCTTTGATGGCATTGTCCGCAGGCATTGAAGAAGTGTTTGTACTAGCGCACAGGTTCTCATGGCTTGGCGCCAACCTCAGGTTCCCAGAAGTCGAATAAGTCAATCAACAAGAAGAGATAAGCGAGTCAGGCTAGGAGATCAGGTGTGCGTCTTTGCACGAGCTTCTCCACTGTACGAGGGTCGAGTTTCGCTGCGTTACTGTGTAGCCGAGAGCTATATACTTTCCAGTCCTACTCCGAGTCAATCCAGGCGCACCCTTTTGGAGGGCTTCGTTTTCAAGGTCACGACTCTCTTTCTTTTCCTGCTGGCGTTGCACTGGCAGCTACTCACACCTGCGACGTTAGTGGTTTGGTGGTCTGGTCTGCCAAAGTCAGCGTCTAGCAGCTGAAGCGTCGTGAGTTGTGTCATAGACTGCGGAAATCCGCTTATTCTATGCTGGCTTAGCTGATTGAACTGCAGGTAGATGGACGTGCGCTGGTCGAGATGGTGGACCTTGAGATCCACGTCCTTGTGATAGCGACCACAGGCAGCACAAAGACTGGGGCCGCCGACATGGCCTAGGCTAGTCCCATCTTCCGTGGTGAAGCAGGCAGCTGGGTACTCCTGCAGGATTCTCTCCACCAACTCGCGCGTGTTGGGGCTGCGGCTGCGGATGGAACCTGAGCATACTACTGGGTTCCTCTTCACGACCGGCTTCTGGCGAAGTTCGAAGAAGAAAGAGGCAGCAAAGAGCGCCCGCGTGAGGCTGGAGAAGTCATGACCACGGAGAAAGTCTGCCGCTAAGTCTTCCAGCTCTGGCATCTTGCCAACATCGTCGAGCGGGGGCTCCTTACGTAGCGCTATGTTGATGCGGAAGTACTTGTGCCGCTCAGCTCTAGGCACTCGATTTACGTGGTCGTCCCAGCCGCTCTAGGCGTTCAGCACGGCGTTGAAGAGCCGGAAAAAGCGTGGAAAGAAGCGGTCTCGAAAGCCCAGTCTTCGAGAGACGATCTGTGGCGACTCTGGATCTCGGGCGAACCCAGTACCTATGGAGACAGCTAGATCAGGCGCAATGCCCCAGATTGTCCGGGACTCCCACTCGGCAGGATCGATAGGGTTGTTGTGTTTCCCGGCGCCGCCGTCTTGCAAGAATCCTAGCCCCCGGATGAACTTTGCCGGGAAGTAGGACGGAGCAGCGGACGTAGCCCTGGCTCTGCCTAGCATGAGTTTGAAAGTTAGAAGCAAGAGAAAGAACGTACGCATCACAGATGAGGGTCTCGTCTTCTATGTGAGAAGCTCGATAGTGTTTGTAGCCTGCCGTCGTATGTTAGTCTTATCTCCAGAGGTGGGGTCTGTGTTTTCACCCTGCCTGACGCCGGCTCCGTTGTAGTTGGAGAGAATGCAGAGCCTCGCACTCGACACAGTCATCGTCGTGACTGCGACCTTCGCTCCTGACATACGCGCGCCCGACTCTGTGAAGCCAAAAAGAGTGGCGTCGGACCCAAAGGCTTCTTTCACGCATGCTTCCATCTCGGCAGCGCTGTACAAGCTGTCAGTCAGCAGGCAAGACAGAAAGCCGTACGCTTTCGCGAGCGGGCTGCTTCCGAATGGCTGGCGAGGACGGAAGACGCGCTGGGCCAGCTGCTTGAAGACGGCAATGCACTCGTCCAGGTTGCGGCGCAGAAGGAACATGAGCGCGATGAGGCCACCTGCGTCTGGCGATCAGCGATCAGTGTGCTCGTGAATATGACAGAACGAGCGATACTCACCTGTACTGGTCCCCAGCGTCAAGTCAAACTCGTCGTAGACAGGATACGGGAGCTTCCGATGCTGATCGAGCGCGCGTAGGATTTGCAGCGTGAATATCCCCCGGATGCCACCCCCGTCGAGCACAAGCAGCCGGCTTCCTGCTGTTGGTGGCTTGAGACGTACTACAAGCTCGCTCTTGGACTGACACAAGAGGCACTGGGAGACGGAGTATGAATGTTCCATCTGCTGTCTTTTGGCCCCGAACTTGCAGATGCACGACTCACAGAGCGCGTGTCCACAGCGCAAGCTATGCTCAGGCTTACGAAAGAGACAGTAAAGACATAGCTGAGAGCTTTGAACGGTGTTCCAGTCTATGGGGATGGTCTGGAGGTTTCTCTTGTGCAGTCCCACTGCTGTCAGCGTCTCCTTGTCGAGCTTGGCGCAGAAGCGGCTGAAGATGGCTTTCAACTGTGCACACAAAGCTGCTGGCGAGAGGCCTTGCTCAGACGGCAGCGACGAAAAGGCTTTGTAGCAATGAGATTGGTACAAGGACTCGAAGACTGCCGACGGTTGGAAGCCTGTCGGTCAGAATGGAAGCATGACGGCTCGAGTGTAGGATACTTACGATGCATGCCGGGCGGAAGGCTGTCTAGCATGAGCGCAGACGCCATGTACTCCAACGCAGCTTCCTGGCTTGTGTGGTTAGCGGCGCACAGCCGTAGAAAGTCGCGTAGGCAGAGCCAGAGACGGTCTTGTATTTGGTTGCATTCGCGCGTCGCGAGGATGAAGCTGAACGGCGAGGAGGCGCATGTCGCAACGTGCCGCAATGCTGACTCGAAAAAGGCGTTGAGATGGTAGGCCGAGTAGAGCGTCTTGGAGGCACTTCTGCGTTTTCTCACTGTCTTCACACTAGTAAGTATGGTGTTTTTCAGAGCGCGGAACCTGGAAGAAGACAGGGTCTTGCGGCCATCTGCCGGCAGCACTACGCGCTGGATACTACCAAACATGGGTAGGCCCAGACTGCCCTTGTGCCTGTACGTGCTGCTGCTGGCAAGGATCACCTGCGGCCTCCAGCCCAGCGAGAGGCGGCTATGACGTCCACACCTCTGGAGGAACCGGATGCCCGCCTCACGGGTAGAGAAGTCATCCAGGAAAAGACAGACGACGTCGACAAACGGCAGGAGCAACTTGCCGACGACATTCTCCACGAACGAGTCGGCCTCTGCCGTAGGCGAGTGTCCTGACAGCCACGCGACTTTGTAACGCGAACGCGCATTGTGCTTTGGCGGCGGCTTCTGCGTCGTGCAAACATTGTCCATATCTAGGCTGGCCACTAGCAGCGGATGCTCATCGTCGAGCGTCGAACCATCCGCCTGTAGTTGTGCGATACCGCGCGATCTCGACTGGCTGCGCCCCGGCAACAGCGCCTGGCGTGCGGCTTCTCCCTCACGCGTACCTACCAGCAACATGGTAGAGGGCGACTGCGCATGTGGGTCGCAGAGGCTAGCAGTGGCCTGTTCCAAGCCGTTTCCACACGCTAAGAACCAATCGGCTCCCGTCTGGAAGCCGTGCAGCCAGTCTGAGCTGTTCTGTGGCGGCATGTGTAACTGTCTGAGATAGGCGAAATAGAGTCTACTCATGCGTAAGAACTCACTAGTGTCTATATAAGTACTCTTGAGAGAAGAGCAGATTCCTGCGAGACGCACTTTCACGGTGGGCACCCGCCGTGACACAATATCTATAGTCAAGGCGGACCCGTGCTGTCATGCAAAAACAAACTCTAACATGAGTTCTAAGCTCGAGAGATGTCGATATTACCTTGGAACTGCGCAGATACGACTACTGCACTTGCGCTACCGTGCATCTAGCACAGAACCCGACGACTGCGTTAGCTGCTGCACGTCTGATCTAGAACACAACTTGCCCGCTCTCATTACTTCTGCTGAGTACTGGCACTGTTTAGCGGGCGCAGGCGTATCTGCGAATGCATTGTATGCTGTCAGAAAGTCTCCACGGCTTGCTCTTCCGAGCGGTGTTGAGCTGCCATGTCTTCACGGACGGTTTCGGCTAGACGCCGCCAAACGAGATGGGTCGCAAAGTCAGGAGGACTGGTGGCTCGTCGATCTCTACAGCTCAGGTAAGAGTGTTGTCCTCTTGTCCACCACCGGTTGTTGAGCGGCACACAGACGCGCCCACAGCTACCTTGGCTCAGATCCGTCAGTTCTACAGCCGACATGCGCCTCTGTGCGACGGGGAGAAGTTCCTGCACATCCGGTTCTTCGAATGCCAAAAGGACTACGCGGTCGCCTCACGGTGGACGAGGCTGCTGGGAGCCAAGGCGAAGACCCTGCGTCAAGTTGTGCGCAGCGAGTGGCTGCGCGACTGCCTCGAGAAGCTAGAGCCGTTCCGCGCTCTATGGGCAGGCTTTCAGCTCGGCTCGTTTCCGCTCATCCTCAGCTGGCGGTGCAGACAGGTAGGGCTCCATGAAGCTAGAGCGGGCCGGGTCGTTTACTCTTGTAGGAGGTCGAATACTACCTCAGCCAGATGTACGAGATCTGGAATGCGATCACAGGCGGCGACGCTCATCTCTGTGACGAGTACACTGTCGAGAAGCTCGGTGGTCTTGCGCCTCTGTGGAGTTCTCGCGACCGCTCGAAGATCGAAACCTGGTTCGCCACACGTCAGATCTTTCCCCGCGCACGTGATCCTGGGGTACGCGCTCAGATCCTCGAAAGGGTCCTTGCTGTCCAGGGGCTTATCCTTACTTTCCAGACCTTCTTCAAGCATGTCAAGATACTCGGACCTGTGATGCTTCCTTTGAGAGCGCTGTTCTCAGCAGGCGAGCTGTGTCCTCCGAGAGACGAGTTCAGCGCAGTGCCCAGACGCTTTCCCTCGGTGAGAGACATCCTGCTGCAGCATCGGCACGAGCAGCCTGCGTACAACGACCGACAGTGTCTACTGCAATACAGCGAACACGACGAGCACTTCTTTGAGTGTAGCAACCCCGGCCTGTACGCGTACTGGCAGCTCTGCCTCTATCTGCTCCGCCACGCACACGACCCGTGGAAGCGTCCAAAGGAAACATGCGACCAGGCAGCGTCGTCGGAGCGTCCTGGGTGGGTGATTCGGCTCGGCCAGTTTGCGCACAGGCTTGGATTTGAGTCTGACCAGATCTCGTCCCTCTGCAGTCAAGATCCCGACCTTTCGCAGATCCGCATGCACATGCTCGAAGAACGGCCCAGCGTCCTCTTCTCGGCACCTGTCGACAGGTTCAACGCAGAAGCTGACTCGCGCCAAAAAGGCTAGGCGATCTTCGAGCCTCGCCCGCCTGCGCTCACTCCTCTGATGACGACCGACAGCGCGACTGCAGTCCGGGCGCCCAGGAACCACCCAGAACTGTTTCTTCCTACGATATGGAGCGCGCTTGCGCAAGAGCGAAGACACACTCTGACGGAGTATGGAGTGCTTGTGCTGACGTCTATGGCTTTCTTTGAGGACTTCGGATCGAGCTCTGTCGGCGACGTTCGCGAGGGCGCTCAACAGGCTCGGGCGCTGCTGCGCTCTTCCTCTGTCTACTCTGTGCCCGTGTATCCCGACCGTCTAGCGAGATCCCATGGCGCCAGCATTACCTTCTGGCATCTGCCCCGGCGTCGCGCCATGCATCCGATCGCAGAACATAGATGCGACGCGACCAAGGAGGACGTCAAGAAAGCTGTTCGCAGTGTTCGCGCGCAGGGCGTGGCGCCTCTGTTCGCTCTGGTGGACAGCGACGGGCGACTCAGGCTGTGCGACCCCTCGCAGATCATGCATGGCCGCAAAAGATCCAAGCAGCCGAACGATGTGTACTATGTGTTTGGCGATGAAGACAGCAAGATCTGGGTCATGAAGAAGTTCAACAGCCACCGAACGTAGACTTTGTCACCTGACACGCGGCAACGGAAGCGCTTGGGGTGGAACAAGGTGACGGTCACCACATCGTTTTCCTCTTCGTTTTCCCTGATAAAGATCGTCATTTCCCCGCCCCCTGGAAGCGATTCATTGTCACACTAATTGAGCCGACATTTGGCCGTAGCATAGTGTTAGGGACAGCCAGCCTTCACACCAACTGTGGCACAGTAGCGTTCACTTGAGGAAGCACGCAACCTGAGTTCTTACAAAGCCCTTAGCCGAACGGCTATGGCACAGCACCGACATGCAGGTATTAAGGGCAAAGATCCGTTCAGTGGGCGTCTGCTGCATCCTGCGGAACATCCTGTAGATTAGAGGCTATGCACCGATCAACGACCCCAGTCGCGATGCAAAAGACCAAGCAGCGAGTGAAGCAAGCATGCAACTGGTGCCGAGTGAAGAAGACAAAGGTAAGTGGTCTCGTTCCGGATGTAGTCGATCATGCTTCTGACCTTGGTATTGTGCGATAGGGAACATCCGTGCGATAGATGTCGAGCGGAAAACGCGTTGTGTGACTACAGCCAAAACGTGGGTCACTTGCGGAATAGAACCTCTCCGTAAGCGTTCCTTGGAGTAGAAAGATAGTCGCTGCTTTCCGCTCACGTCGTCCGCAGGATGGCGCTCCTCGAGGAACAGAACAGGCAGCTCCGGGACACGGTACAAAAGCTGTATGAACACGTCCGGGCTGGTCACAGCTTGCCAGCACTGCCAGCATCGAGCACGGGAGAAGGCCGCCCGCTCTTGCACGACATCGTAGCCTACGTGAGAGCGCTGCCTATGGGTGTCACGAGCGGACATGAACAGATTCAATGCCAGATCCCGGGGCCGGATGCAGCCGCCGCTGTGTCCTTCTCGCAACCGCAGCCAGAAGTCTCGCCGTATCCAGACTTCACCGCAGCAGCCACGCAGCTGAACACCATCACGGCCTCGTCGATGCAACAAGACCCGTTACTGACAGGGTACGACCCAGCGCAAGCGGAGTATGAGTCTCTCGAAAGTAGACTGGATCTGCAGGAGCTTTGGACACTCATAGAGGTGGATCCGGCCGAGGCTGCAAGACTGGACGACTGGCTACTGAACTACACAGCATAACAGATATAGATACACGGCTGTTGGGCTGAATGGAAACACTGCAGGACCTTCTTTTGTAGAATTAATAATCGATCACATTAGTTCTAAGCTAGGTTGGTTCTTTGCATCCTAAGATGCCTCCCTGCTTGCAATCGATGCCCTCACACCGTCTTGGCAGAAGCCACGGAAACGTCGTCCTCGATGTCCAGATAGTCACCCAACAGGGTCTCTACCGGTTCGCTGTAGGCTTCGATATCCTCGAACGCTGTGCTGCTCGAAGAGACACGCTCCAAGTCCAGATCATCAACATCTACCGAGTTCTCCGACATTTGCCCGTCCTCTGCAACCTGGATCTCTAGACGCTTTACCCCGTGGCACACGTCTAGCTTCACGACGTCGTCTGCGCCGTCATCCACCCTCTCCCGAGTATCTTCTATGGTAGTGCGGACATAACGGTGGATGTCTGCCGTCGCTTCCTTGATCGCTCCACTAGCATCCAGCAGCTGCTCTCTCTGGAGATCTACAGCGCTCCTCATACTTCGAAGGCGAGCCTCTATCTCTTGCAGGCTGGGGCTGTCTTTCAGGATCCACACGGCTACGTCGCTTTTCTCCTGCAGATGGAGAGTTTCATCGCTACCCGGCGGACTCAGCAGTGTGCTTGCCACTTCTGCGCGACACGCAGCCCCCCGCAGCATCAGATTTGCTGTGAGAGTCAGCAAATCTCGTCAAGTTTGTGGAGCACGCTTCCTACCTAAGAGCAGAGCACATTCTGCATTCCAACCACCCGCGGTCTGCTTCGTGGGCAACGCCTCCAGCTGCAGCGGATGAAGGAGAAACACGTCTCGGATCAGCTGTTCGTATTTGGCGGAGCCTAGCACCCGTGCAACACGAAAAAGCATGACAAGCATGACCGTGGAAAGCGTCTCTAGCCGTAGTGTTTGTACGATGAAACTGAAGGCCACGGTGTTGTGCACGCGAGATGTGGCGGGGATCTTGTATCGTCGGATGGCCTCGGCCATGTTGACGAGCGTTTCCAGCGATATGTGAGCTTGCGGTATGAAGGAGCCATGGGCCGACTGGCAGACCAGGTGAAACGCCACAGGATCTTCGTCTGGCAGCTCGATGCTCTCACGCAGCAAGCCGTGTCTGGTGGTGAAGAGCCTGTGGAATTCTGGTGACAGCTGAGACATGACCGAGGCGGAGACGAGAAAGCGAGCGTGCTGGATCCGAACTTCGACGTCGCCGTTCTGATACGGAATCATGCCGAGGTCGCTTGAGCGGATTGCTGTCTAGTAGGAGGGAGGGGTGGTCAGTATATAGCCCGCATCACAGCCATTTATAGAGTCGCGCGATTGTAGATGTCTGTGTTGGCAACACAGGCGGGAGAGCCCTTTCACATCAGGCAGCGATCTGTCCAGCCACAGTGTCTTCGCTCTTGTCGGCCGCATCCAGCTGTTCGCGTCAGATTTCGACAGGCTGCTAGTTGCTGGACAGCTATGCGGTCGTCGGGCCATCTCGGATGTCTGCGTGTGCGACCCTGACACCACTGCTGACGTCCGCTGTTGGAGACCAACATCTATCTCGCCATTTCCACCCACTCGGTTGTAGCACGACCTCAAGCCCAGTAGCGTCGGCACTGCCGGCTCTGCTCTCTGCGCTACGGAGTTTGGCGCTTGCAACGCCAATAAGAGTGACACCCGGTTCTCCGGGCCCATGCACGGCACTCAGCGTTCACTCGTGCCTGGTCTTCCGCCCGGGCCGCCGTGTTCCGAGCGTCTACAACAGTTCCTAGGTTGCGAACATGTTCAAGCATGACTCGGACGCATCCCAGCTTGTCGAGCATCCATGCACGATATCTAAAAGCTCAACCAGGAACCATCGCACAAGGATTAAATTGGTCGGCTATACTACGCGTCGGCAATAGCTGCATAAACCATGTTGCTAGCTGCTGCATTCTTACATAAAAGAATGATAGCAGATCCCAGGGTTCTGGTTTCGCAAACTCTGTTGTAACTCTATCGTAGCTCTATCTTACCTGATCCGGTGACAACTGCATCCGTGTCGGATACAGTAACACCTTTCAGTTCCTCCCTGAGCTGCAGCGCTCGAGCAGAACCGAGTCCGTGATCGTCGCTGGGAATGCGAACCACCGGGGTGGACGTAAGCGCCTCGTGCAGAAACACAGGGGACGGCGTTACATCCTTGGCCGGCGTGTCCTTGGCCAACGTGTCTCGGGCCAGCGCGTCCTTGAGCGCGGTGGGAGAGAAGCTCAGCAACGGATTGAACGCTCTGCAAAGCAAGCGATGGTAGATGGCAGTCAGTCCGGTAGCAAGCACCATAACACACGCCTGTCCGATACATCTGGCACTGCCCTGCGAGTCTCGTACCAGAAAAAACAGCGCTGCCAGACAGACTTGCATCAGGTAGAGGCCTGCCAAGAGATGCTTGAGTGCTTTGGGATAGAAGAGGCCGCCATGATCGTGCTCAGTAAGGAGTACTCTCGAATGGGAATAGATGACCCAGAACAAGCCGATGGCGAGGACCTGAAAGGGGAGGATGATCGGGGAGATGATCGCGTAGAGGAGTCCTGTGTCTTTCAGTGTGGGCTACGTCAGTGCTTCTGGCGTTTAGACGTACTAATGCAAGAGAGGTTTGTGAAGACAGGTACAAAGGTGCCCCACTGGAGATCCGGACCTCTCCTACGCATCACCATCTGCGTGACTGACTTGTCGAACATGGGACCAAGCACGAACTTCCCGAGCAGACGGTCTGTCCGCAGCAGAGAGCCAGCGCTTACCGACAGAGCTTGCAAGAGAAGGTAGGAGAGAAAGTAGTTGCTTGCTTTCGGCAGGTTCTTCGCCAGCGTCGCAGCGAGCGAAGCTCCCTGTGCGATCTCGTTCGCAATGGCAGTAAGCCCTGCAGCCAGAGACACCACGAGGGTGACCTGGACAAAGAGGAAGCAGAAGTAGTAGTCTTGGATCTTGAGATCGATCTGGCTCTTGGAGCAGATGCCCTGCTTTCGGACGAGGTATTCTGCCACGCAAACGAACCCTTTCATCAGAACAGCTACCAGCACAGGGGGGAGCACACCTTGTAGTAGACCCAGGAGGGACTCGGGAAGCTCGCTGATCCAGCTCAGCCAAGACACGGCCTGGGTGATGTAGATGATCTGGGAGAGGAGCCCTGCCAGCGCTACCGGTACGACGCACGCAATCGCCGTGATGAGAATGAGCGCGTTGGAAAACACGGTGCGTAGGGTCCTATCCCGCCACGTGATATCTGTGTTGCTCCACACCACGTCATCTACGGACAACGGCATCGTGCGAGGCGTCATGTAGCCCGCGCTGGTGTGGATCACTGTCTGGCACGCGATGTGGGCGGCGAGGGGATTGGCGAAGGTGACGAAGGCGGACCGCAGCGGCGGAAACTCGCTTCGTGTTTTGCGATAGAAGTCCATCGTCTCGCCAGTCGCACGAAGCTCCTCCCGACACAACAGGGCAGTGTCGACCTTTTCGAATGCCAACCAGGCAAGAAGATTCAAGAGGCGCCGCGATTGGCAGTCCAAGCTCCGACGCGTTTTAGTGGTACTTGACCTTCTAGCCCGCTTCTGTACGCCAGCTCTGAAAGCCTTCCTTAAGTTGGCAGTCTCAGCCGCCTCGAGGGCTGCCGCCAGACGTTCCCGCCGCGCTGCCAGCCGGGAAACTGTGCTGTAGTCACGGTTGAAGGAAACAGCAGTGATCTGGCCAGGGAAGATCTGGAGTTGGGACGTGAGTATCTTCTCAGACATCCAGTCGTCGGGTATAGAGTCAAAGAGCACTGTGCGCAACGTCGCGCTAGGTGCTTGCCGCCGAGCTGCGACATAGAAGCCAAGCTCGCTCCAGATGACCCAGCAAACGTAGGCGGTAAAGAGCAAAGCCAGCACGAGATGAACCCAGTACCGGTCTGCTTGGTCGAGGCCGACGTTAGACCACCCGAGGGCATCGAGCCCACTCACGCCACGCACCGCCATCTTCCCATGCGTGTAGTTCAAGGGGACTAGGATCGGCGTTATGAGGAGAGAAGCGGGAGCGAAGATCAGAAGCAGCGACCGCAGGTAACGGCGAAAGAAGTATCTATCGAGATGTTCGTGGCAGCGCTCGAACCGAAGAAGGTTGGTCGCAATGTATCCTCTCCAGGTGGTGGAAGTGCTGTCTAGGTGATCTGGAACAGTAGAGCTGCAGTCGTCAGCACACGACTAGGTAGAATACTGTGAGCTTACTAGAGATCGGGGAAACGTTTGCGGATAGCGAGAAACACAAGGACTTCTATAGCGAACATCACCGCAGAGAGGGAGACCGAAGCTATGAACGAGCTCAAGGAAACACCGTAAAGCTGCTGCGCTTTCGCAAACGACTTCCCGAAAGCTTCTTCCATGGTGGTAGTCTGATGTCCAGTTCTCACGATGTGAGTTTTCGCACGTAGCGAATGGATGCAGAACGACGAAGACACCTTCGAATGAGTTCTGTAGCCCACTCTGCTCTCAAAACAGACTAGCCTGATAAGCACGAGGACTTTAAAGTCTGGTGCTAGCTACGCTAGGCCGGATGGGGTTGTGCTGGAGAAAGTGGAGGTCACCCGTCGACGAGCAGGCGCATCCGCGACGGACCGCACTAGCGTGACGGAAGACAGGCGTTGGTTTGACAGCGTTGGTTTGACAGCGTTGGCTTGACAGGCTCTGGCTCCTGTTGGTAGTACATATCTTATGTAGCCTGCTTGACTCAGAGCGTCTGCTGTTGAGCCTGCTTGGAGCATCCGCCTGTTCACCCTGCCGACATGGTAGTGCCAAACGGCTCTTTGTCTTCTGCCCTAAACCTAGTCAAGGTGCGTGCATACCGATGAACGAAATGCCATAGTTGATACTTATTATAAGCTAAAGCGGTTTGCGGATAGTTGGCTGCAAGCAAGCGACGCGATCGACTGCGACGACCTTGCAGCCCTGGTAGATGCGCTTGACTGCTTGAAGAAGGACGCTCAGCAGAAGCTGTCTCTCAAGAAAGCCACCCGCGCAGGCATGACAGTAGATTCGCGGTCTGTAGGCTCAAGTGGCGCTAACCAAGGGGTGCGAAGATCCTCCCGCCTCAAAGCGTCCACTCCCCGGCCGGCTTCCTCAGCCTCGCTCTTCGTCGTCAAACACGAGACGGAGTCGGAGTTTAGTGGTGAAGACGATGAGACACTTCCAGCCGTACTCGAGGAGACAAACTCCGGCGACTACACGGGGGTGATGGCAACGGCGCCCTCAGAAATCCCGTTTGGAGATCTTCCATGGGCGAGCGAAACACCGATAGAGAACATTCACGAGATTGAGGTGGTACAGAGCAGACATGCCTTGGAGCCAGAGTCATCCTCGCCGATGCTCTACAGAGTAACACCCGCTATTGACGAGCAGGACGAACTTGCATATGTACAGCCAGCTCGAGTTTTTAGCGAGGCCTCAGCTTCTCATCAATCTCATTGGGACAACACCCAGTCTGGAGTGGACACACTGCATCAGACAGCACAAGATGTGCGAACTGGTAGATTACACTCAGAAGCTGAATCCTCACGTCAAGTCTCGTTGCATCAGCCATTTTCAGATCCAGCAGAGTCAGACGTATCCGTCTCGCCAGACCGTGACATGGAAGTCGAGAACAGCAACAGCGAAGAGATGGTCATGCAAGATGCATCCACGCCACAGTTCTTCAACGAAGCATTCGAAGACCTGTATGGCAGCCCGTTGCAGCACGAGTCGCAGATAGGTGGCGAGGAAGTCACTGTCCCATGCCAGAAGCAATATCCGACTGACCCAACTCACACGCCAAGCTTAGGCAATGATCCAATGTTCCAAAGCTACCTAGATCTTGCTTGCCGTGCGAGCTTTTGTCTTCCACACGAATCTGTAGAAGACGCAGATAGCACAAGAACCCGAGAGCTCCTTTCCCCTCTGGTGGATGGGACACCTCTCACGCCAAGGCTCCTTCACGGCCTGATCTACTCGTTGATTCCGGGTCCACTCCATATACTGGAAGTTGATCCGATTGCGAGCGATGGGGGAATGTTGGCAGACGAGAGCCTGGCCGAAAACTTCGCGATCATCTTGCGCGAAAGCGAAGAGGCTCTGCCGTTGCTCGTGCTAGGAGCTGCGAATAGGAAGACGCTGTTTGTTCTTAGCAGCGGCGCAGTGAACCTTCCGTTTCTGGGCGCATTGTATCGAACGCTCCCTGAGTGGAAGACGGAGTACATTGAGGTAGCAAACCCGTTCGCCTTCGTCTTTGCGTCGACTGACTTTCTGCAGCCCCACGATGTCAGCCCACATGTAGAGAGCACGCTTCTGTCTGTCTAGATAGCTGAGGCTTGCTTCCAAGGACGGCCGCTACGGGATGCTCCGTCTTCTCGAGAACTGCGCCTACGTTTCTTAGAAGAGCTGGTGGCCCCTGTCCAACGCGACTCTGTTCTGGAGCAATATGGCATCTCCAGCAAACTAGCAGTCTCGCAACAGATCAACATCAGGCTGGCCGAGACAATTTCTGAGGCGCAACTGCAATCACAACCGCAGAGCAACGAGGTCTTTGTGTCGAAGATCAAGACCTTCGATCTCGAAGCGCTGCACGAAGCGCTTCTCCAGAAGCCAGCTGACATCTCCCGCGGACGCTGTCTGAGGATCTTGCAGTGTGTGTATGAGATCGGATCGCCATGCATTCTCGACTCACTCAAACCGGCTCTCACTGCAAAACGCGAAAATCAGGCACATCAAGCGATGGAGCAACCCGTTGTCGAGAAGCTCTTCCGCATCCACCTCTACTTGGACAGCCAGGAGAGCGAGAGCCACCTCCTGGTTGCCAGAAGTCGATACGTCAAGTACTGCTACTTCGAGACATATCTGCTGGCCGTCGCAGCGCTCCAAAGAGAGAAGCGCAGCAGCAGTCGAGAGAAGCGGAGAATACACGCGCGGAAACTAACCGCCAGCTTCAAGCAGGGCCTCTATAACGAGCTGCCACCCACGCCACACGACGACGAGATCCATCGCATCTACGAAGATCTCAGTCCCTCCGAGAAGAAGCGGCGGGCTCAGGACATAGTGAAGAATGAGATTTCGAGAAAGGTTGCCAAGGAACACGGGATCAACGAGAAGCGCGTCCGACGCAACATCAACAGGTACATCAGACAAGGGAGAGTGCTGCACTGTGTTCTGCAAGGTGGGGTATCACTGAATCCAGGGCTGCTTGTCCTGTTTCCAAGTTCTGGGACCCATGCGCCTTCTCTAAGCGCGGCCGAGTTTGGGGTCGAGCTCTCAGAGCCTGAGGAAAAGAGTCTCAGCAGATCCATTGAGATCAAAGAGTAAGACGCAGTTGCTTCTGTGATTAGAGTGCTACTAGTGACAGCGAACAGTATAGAGGGGTTGACGCAAGCGGAGGCGGTCTGGTTCGGCAAGGTTTTGCAGGCCAGGCCGGGGCTGCTAGAACAGGTGCCCAAGACGGTCCTCGACCTGCTCTCAGATAGCCTGTTCGAGGCGGTAGATCTTCGCGAGCGTGATGCAAGTAGCTTCAGAGATAGGCCGCTTCGTTTCTTTGCGTAATGAGATGCAGCCTGGCCCGCACTCGGATTGGCTTGCCATCATACCGAAGCCTCTGACGCTAGCCGAAGGTATCGGCTGGGTTATCTCGCTGCTTATATAGTCCCTTTCTCCTCGCCCAGACAGCAGACACAAGTTTCCCCCTGAGATCTCACATAACCTTCCCTCCGATTCAACCACTGCGCTGTCGCCAGGCATGTCCCACGTTGCGAGCATGAAGACCGAGCCGGAGAGCCGCGCGAACAGCGAAGATCTGTGGTCTTGCTTGGGCGCCATCAATCTCGATCGCCACAACCTGCTTGTGTTCTGGGAAAGCTCGTGGCACTCGGCAGACGAGTACCATGCTCTCTGTACAGGCGGGAACCGAGGGTGGCTCGTCCATGCGCGAGGCGACGACCAGCTGCTCATCGCCTGGGAACCCACAATCGAAAGCAAGTCAGTCCAGGCCTCTCCTCGCAGCCTTGTGTATGATCCTGTTATAGAAGTCCGGAGAGACCGGCCTGGTCTGCTTGGGTACGTCGCGTCCAAGACCCTGCGCGGCTCTGGAAAAGCAGGAAGCCGTCGCCTTGCTTTCTTAGCCTACTGGAAGGTGGCTCCGATGACCAGAGGACTCTTTTTCTATCTGCAGAAAACCTTTTCCAGCCACAGAGGTTGCATCGTGCACGCGGAGGAAGACAGAGTTTGGGTACAGTGGGAGCCGACATGGGTGTTGTACGAAGATCTGAACCAGGCGAAGAAGAAGCAGCTCCTGAAAGTATGCCATGATCCTGAAGCACTCTTACGCCGCTTCCACAGGACGGTTGTGCACTACTCTACGCGCCTAGCGGTCGAGAAGCGAATTGGGTAGAGACAAATAGGCCAAAGAATAGAATTCACAGTGTCGCTGTCTTGATGTGTGTGTGTTTGCATGTGAATGTGTTGATGGATAGATACTGCTTGCAGAAAAACACTCGTTTCATCGCTGTAGGTTGTCTGCATCAAGTTAGCCCAGCACAGTGTTGCCTGTTGACTATAGTAGCCGAGATCAACAAGTTGTATCTTCACGCTCCCTCACTGCTTGCGCTCTGCTACTCCAAAAAAATGCAATCAGGTAGGTTAGAAAGTGATAACGTCGACATCTGTGCCTGAGCTCACTAGAACAGCTTCGATTTCACCGAAGAAACGGGTCTTGTATGAACGAGACGCCGTCGAAGCAGTCAGTATGCTCCACCTGCGGTAACTACATAATCAAGACCTGAAGCTCGCAGGAGCCAGCCAGCGCTCTCGAGAATATATTCAACAGCCATCTTGACGTTCGAGCCCCAGACTCCAAGTTCGCAGCCATCTTTGAGCGCTTAAAAGCCAAAGAAGAGCTCTGGGTAAGTTGGCGTCTACAAATCTGCAGTTCTGTCGAGCTCTGCTGATGTTCCGACGTAGATCGGCTACGAGCCGGGAAAAGAGTACTGCCCTATTGCACGCCTGAACTTCAGCAAGTCAAGACAGTATAAGCAGGGTGCTGTAGGCTACTATTACATCTTGAGATGCAAGTGTGAAGATCTGGGCAGCGGCTTCTGGATTGTTGCACACCAGACCTTTGTCAAAAGAGCCTGGCGTCGATACCTCCGATATTCATGCTCTGGCAGCTGCACACGGCAAACCATAGCAACAAGCTTCTTCCACGCAGCATACTTGGAGGAGGACGGTTGGTAATGTCAATCCACGCGTGCCGGGACGCACGGTGTAACGGGACACATTCCCTTCCGGGCCTCCGGGTTGCTCGCAGCGTACTTGTATGCAAAAAAACGTTATACGCATCTATTTTGCAGCTCTCGTCCTCCTAACACATTAGTCTCCGACGCCAAAAAGCGCGTGGTGAACTGTGCTGTCGCTCGTTCTGTTGATGCTGTCTCCGACTCTCCGCTAATACCCCCCTGTTTATTCACGATAGTATACCTCTGTAGAGAGCTCGGTGGGCTAGGAAACAAGCTAAGATAGCAAAGATTAAGACTGCAGCCTTGAAAGGTCGATTTAGGGTAAGAAGGATACATCCCAGCAGTTTCTCCGCGCAGACGGCAAGATCGTTGGAACGCGTTGATCAGGCCGTGCGTCTTTAGCAGCTCTTAGCATGCAGTAGCTTGTAGTAGCGTGCTGAGATATCTATGCGCCTGCCCCGCGCGCTGTGGCTGGAAACTGCAGCTTTAAGCACCCCGCCCCAGGAAGCCTTTATTGCCGACTTTGCAGGCAGATGTTGGTCCAGTAGTGCAACAAGAACGTATCTTTATGCCTACACGACCTACGTCCCTATGTGCCCTTTCTCGCTAACATGAGTGTCGTCAGACACTACGATGGCAGTCTAACAAGAAATATCCTTCCACTGGCACCTGCCTATGTGTGCAGTAGCCCAGCGCAAGTTGTGAAGCGGCGCAGCGCAGAATGCTCGATGTGCCCAGCATCCGCTCAGCCTCGTCGCATGCACTGCCTCTACAGGCAGCCTTCACACCAGCCTAGCGTAAGCTTCATCTGCCTGCCTCGCTCTGTCGCAACTATGTCTTTCTGCTCTCGACACCTTTTAAGTCGCTCACGCCTCGCTGTCCCTAGACTAAGCTAAGATTGCAAACGCCATGCGGCTTCTCCACTATAACGCGCTGGGAAGGCTTGTCTTAACAGACTTCTGCGGCAAGTCGATTCCGCCCTACGCCATTCTGTCGCACAGATGGAGCGACTCTGAGATCCTTATCGAAGACATATCGAACGACACCTACAAGGAGAAGGAAGAAGGCTATCGAAAGCTCCAGTTCTGCGCTGAACGGGCGGCGCAGGACGAGCTGCAGTACTTCTGGATCGACACATGCTGCATCGACAGGTGGAACAACAATGAGCGCTCGAAGGCGATCAACTCGATGTTTCAGTGGTATAAGAATGCGGCGCGGTGCTACGTATTCTTGTCAGACGTATCAGTGTTGACTGCAACAGAGCTGGTCCAACGCAGCGACTGGGAGGCGTCGTTCCGTGCAAGCGCGTGGTTCACGCGGGGATGGACTCTCCAAGAGCTAATCGCGCCAGTGTCAGTCGAGTTCTTCTCGTGTAAAGGACATCGCATAGGCGACAAAGCATCGCTTGATCAGCTGCTACACGACATCACCGGCATCCCCCTTGCGGCACTGCGCAACTGTCCTTTACACGAGTTTAGCACATCTGAGCGAAGGCGATGGGTCGAAAACCGCAGAACAAAAGAAGAAGAAGACATTGTATACTGCCTGCTTGGGATTCTTGGTGTCTCTATGCCCACCGCGTATGGCGAAGGAGAGGAGAGTGCACGAAGCAGACTGCAGGCTGAACTGGAGGGAACTAGTGATGCACCGTCGATCATTCCGTTCTCACGAAACCCCCGCTTCGTGGGCCGAGAGTCGCAGCTCGCCGAGCTAGAAGCAAAGCTCTTCACTAATGAACGGACCACTACCACGCTAGCGATCGTTGGACCTGGCGGAACTGGCAAGTCGCAGCTCGCGCTCGAGGTTGCACACAGAACAAGGCAGAACAACAAAAGCTGCTCGGTCTTTTGGATGGACGCAACCGACAAAGAAAGTCTCTACCAGTCGTATGCAATTATTGCGCAGAAGCTCAGTATTCCTGGGTGGGACGATGACCAGGCCGACAGGAAGCAGCTTGCGAAACGTTGTGTAGTAAAGATTAGTGCGCAGCAGTGTTTATTGATCTTTGACAACGCAGACGACACCACTTTGCGATCTAGCGGTTTGTCCACAACAGAAGCTGCAGACCTAGTCGACTTTCTGCCACAGTCTAAGCTATGTTCTGTCATCTTTACAACAACCAACAGCGACATATCTATGGCGCTTGCTTTACAGAGCATTATAGTGCTGCGGGAACTGACATTAGACGCGGCGCTGAGGATGCTGCAAGCCCGCTTAGCGAGGCCACTCGCGAACACTGAGCAGCAGGAAGCTGAGCACTTGCTAAGAGAGCTATCGTACCTTCCTCTAGCAGTCATGCAAGCAGCGGCTTGTATGAAGGCTAGCGGTATGACGGTACAAAAGTATCGATCCCGACTAGACGATCACAAAGAGCTAGCTATTGAACACAGCGGTGACTCGTCTAAGGATAGGCTACGAGGTTCTGGCGTGAAAGACCCTATAGCTGCTACACTGTTTCTCTCTATAGACGAGATCAGTCGTAATAATGCGTTTGCCGCAGACTGTTTGTTTCTTGCTGCCTGCGTAGACCGAAAAGACATCTCGATCGACCTTCTAGAGGCAGCCTCGATGCAAGCAAGAGAAGATGCTATTAGGTTGCTTGACAAGTATGCGCTCGTTACTAGGAGATCTGCTGAGTCTGCACTCGATGTTCATCGACTAGTCCACCAAGCTCTACGCAAGCGGCTGCAAGTGCAGGGACGACTTGGACAGTGGACTCAACACACGATCATACAGCTGCTGCGAGTGTTTCCAGACGACGATCACAGCAACAGAAGCAAGTGGAGACGACTACTTCCGCATGCCCAGTATGCTCTGTCGCATAGTCTAGCAGATAATGACAACGAAGAAAGATTACAGCTTGCATCAAAATGTGCTGCGACTCTGTTTAGCGACGGGCGGTATGAGGAGGCTGAAGAGCTAGAGGTGCAAGTGATGCAGACGAGCAAGAGAGTGCTTAGCGACGAGCACCCTGACACGCTAGCCAGCATGGCCGACTTAGCGGCGACGTACACCAAGCAAGGGCGATGGGAGGAGGCCGAAGAGCTGCAGGTGCAAGTAATGGAGACGAGGATGAGAGTGCTCACCGATGAGCATCCTGACACGCTGAGCAGCATGAACAACCTAGCGGCGACATACAGCAACCAGGGGCGATGGGAGGAGGCCGAAGAGCTGCAGGTGCAAGTGATGCAGACGAGGATGAGAGTGCTCACCAACGAGCATCCTGACACGCTAGCTAGCATGAACAACCTCGCGTCGACATACAGTAAACAAGGGCGATGGGAGGAGGCCGAAGAGCTGGAGGTACATGTGATGCAGGCGAGCAAGAAAGTGCTTAGCGACGAGCATCCTAATATGCTGGCTAGCATAGGCAATCTGGCGTCGACATACAGAAACCAAGGGCGATGGGAGGAGGCCGAAGAGCTGGAGGTACATGTGATGCAGACGAGCAAGAAAGTGCTTAGCGACGAGCATCCTGACACGCTGACTAGCATAAACAACCTGGCGTCAACATACAGCAAGCAAGAGCGATGGAAGGAGGCTGAAGAGCTGCAGGTGCAAGTGATGCAGACGAGCAAGAGAGTGCTTACTGACGAGCACCCTAACACACTGACTAGCATGGCTAACCTGGCGTTGACGTACAATAATCAAGGGCGATGGGAGGAGGCCGAAGAGCTAGAGGTGCAAGTGATGCAGACGAGGATGAGAGTGCTCACCGATGAGCATCCTGACACGCTAAGCAGCATAAACAACCTAGCGGCGACGTACAGCAAGCAAGAGCGATGGAAGGAGGCCGAAGAGCTGCAGGTGCAAGTAATGCAGACGAGCAAGAGAGTGCTTACTGACGAGCATCCTAACACGCTGACTAGCATGAACAACCTAGCGTTGACGTACAGAAACCAAGGGCGATGGGAGGAGGCCGAAGAGTTGCAGGTACACGTGGTGCAGATGATAAAGAGAGTGCTTACCGAGGAGCACCCTTACACGCTGAGCAGCATATATAATCTCGCCTTTACGCTGCAGTCACAATCTCGTTACGAGGAGGCTCTTGCACTAATGGAGAGATGCTTTCAGCTACGTAAGCGGGTACTTGGCGAGCAACACCCTGATACACATTCTTCGCTCATCACGTTAAGTAACTGGCGAGCGGAATGTGAATAGATGTATAGTGAGACAACTTCATGATGTTACCGCTATCTGCAGATCGTACAGTTGGGTATTAGAGACCGCATAAGCATGACTTTCAACGGTATAGTATAATGCAGCGATGACTTCTACTAATTACGATGCTTCAGCTTCAACCCACTTTACACGGCATATCTACGCAATGTGATAATACTCCTAATTATGTAAGAAGCGAGTCTGGAGGGTGGCCGTCTGCAATGCGCATGTGCACGCCAGGAACAAAAGCTGCCCGCTATCCGGGAACAAGAGTTGTCTGAGGCAATGAGCTTAGCTCAGGATCGCAGTTCTCAGCCACAGTGCGCAGTGCGGCACGCATACATCTCAGCACGCTACTGCAAGTTGCCGCATACCAAGAGCTGCTAAAGACGCACGGCCTCTTGGACGCGTTTCCACAAATTTGCTATCTGCGAGGAGGAACTGCTGGACGTATCCTCGTTAGCTTTAATTGAACTTTCAAGAGTGCAGTCCTAATCTCTAGTATCTTAGCTTGCTTCCTAGCCCACTAATCTCTCCTTAGATATGTGCTGCCACAAATAAACAGGAGAGTGTTAGAGGAGGGTTAGGAGGCGGCGTTAATAGAACGAGCGACAGCACAGTTAACAACACGTTTTTTAGCGTCGGAGACTAACTTGCTAAGAGAACAAGAGCTGCAGAATAGATGCGCATTGCACTTGTCTGTATTTAAGAGCGCTGGGGGCATTCCGAGGGTCCAGAAGAGAAAGCGTCCCGTTACACCGGGCGTCCCGGCACGCGTGGATCGACATTATACCGTAAGAGAAGTCAGTGGCATTGGAAACTACAAAAACTATGTAACTATACGACAACTATAATCCACAGCCACGCGCATAGCACATCGTTTTGATGTCACGTGTTCTTGCTGTGTTCGAATATTACGCACACCAGGTCACCTATTCCGAGCTAGGGTCTACCGAGCCAAGCAGCATTGTGCGCACAAGCTTACTAGTCACGACAACTGGAGAGATGGTAGCGGGCAGCTCTACATACTTACAAAAGCCCCCGTTGCTGTAGCTGCGGTGGCTTAGTCTGCGCCAGACATCGCCATCTCCCGTATCAGGCAGACTGGCAAAGCAGATGCCATGAGCATGTGGCCCTTGTGACTTGCTGCTCTTCTTGTCCTTTTGGATGGCCTTGTGAGCCTCTGCGCTTGCGCTCGAGAGACGGTCGATGTGCGCTTGCGGTACTGTGCCCTTGACGACGATGATGCTGACCTTTGAGCCAAGCCCACCTCGAGCAGACTCCTTAATATCAGTCAATGCCTGGAGTGCGACATTGGCCAAGGCAATGCCAGTCTCCGCGTCGTACGATGTCTTCATGAGGTTCTCGTAGTTGTGAACTGCAAAGTCGAGGGGAACGGGTTCCATGTAGCGGGGGAGGAGGTCTCTCGCTTTCTGGCTAATTCTGTCTTTTAGCGCTTCATGAGAACAGTCCTGTACCGAGCTGTAGCTGCTGTAGACATCTTCGATCGTCTTGGTTATCTCTTCGGTGGCGCTTCTTTTGTGCTGGCTAGGGCGCAGCTCTGGCGAGAGCACAGAATCATCGTGACGGCGGACACTACTTTCAGCCGGCGTCAAGTTAAAGCGATAGCCTTCGCGCGTCTGCTTGAATGCGGTGTGCCAATCCTCTTCTTCAACGCGCAGGCTGCCAGTATGTATAAGATATTCTGTCCATAGCTGGACCCCTTCCTGCAGGCTCTTGATACTGGTGAGCCTCAACAAGGCCTCTGTGTCTCTATAGGGATAGCGGAGTGGCCGATTCGGAAAGATCACAGTAGCACTTCTCGGCCTGATGCGATTAAAAACGAACTTGAAGACAAGCAGGAGATCGAACTGCAGTTTCCAGTAGTCGGGCAGGTCTTCGTGTAGGAAGATCTGGAAGACTCTTTCTGCGATCTGCGCCTGGAACTCGCCATTGTCGACCAGGTCCCATAGAGAATCGCTTGTGTGTTTTCGAGCGGTGCCTGGAAGCCGGGTGTGCAGCGGCACGTCAGCAGTAGATTCGTGTTCCATCGGAAAGAGTCTAGAGTTGGCGCAGCCCATGCTTGGGAAAGCTGACTAGGAAAGAGTGGTTGTTCACAACAAGAACGTTACAGCGACGCTCAGGCCTTTTGAGCTAGCTGATAGCCGACAGGGCAGGACGATTATGCACGCCTCACAAAGGTGCGCGCTAGGTTCTGAGAACTTTATGGCCCGTCGTTCGCGCTAGCTGTCTCATGCGTGGTCGAGAGGATCGTATAAAACTGAACACACTATCTGCTTCCAACGCATGAGCAGGTTAAGACGTTCGTCTTCATCATCTTGCGACGTCCAGCATGCATCCGATATCTCTCTGGGCCCTCATTCCAACCGTACTAGTCAGTCCGCATGTATTCGTCGGAGAACCTGCACCCTTCCAGTGGGATCTCTTAGTGGAAAAGCTGATCATGCCAATGAACGGCGACCCCAACTACCAAGGACCAGAATGGAGCCAGCAACCCTTCCCATGCAAGGGTCACCATAGAGGGTCAACTCTTCCAGAGCCTCAGACGACCTGGCATGTCGGAAGCAGGGCCACGTTCCAGTACGTCAGCTTGAACCCGAGTGCTCACTCGAAGCGACTCACAGCATGCCCACAGGGTCTACGACTCGACCAACACGACAGGCTCTAGCATGCACGACCCTGGCGCGGCGCACTCTGGAGGCTCGTGCCAGGCATCGCTTTCCTACGATGGCGGAGAAACGTGGATCGTCGTTCAGAGCTGGGAAGGAAACTGCTTGCGCGTGCGAAAAGGTCAAGAAGGACAACTCACCAATTCTTACGACACCGATCAGAGCTACTCGTTCGACCTGCCTGGCTCGCTCCCAGGGGCAGACACAGCTATCTTTGCGTGGTGAGATCAGCGTCTCCAGCTACAAGGCATGACTGACTCAGCAGGACCTGGCTAAACGCATCCGGCAATCGCGAGTTCTACATGTCATGCTCGCCCGTAAAGCTGGTAGCATCACAGTCTTCGAACAGCCTCCCATCAGACTATCCGATGTACATCGCCAATCTCCAAGCGAGTCCAGAAACAGCGGGCTCGCAGCACTCGATGTGGTCTCAGTGCTACATTCCACAGAACGTGTGGATCCGCTACCCCCAACGGTACAAAGGCATCAATGCACCAGTCGTAGCGGAACCGCTTCCAAACAACAGCCAGGTTCAGTTTCTGCAGCTCGAAGACGATGGCGGAATGTGCGGATCAGACAACAAGGAAAGATTGGAGGCTCTCGGACTTCACTCTGGTTCGAACAGCCAAGAACCGAGTGCTCCGTCCTGTACGAGTGAGCTCGCAACAGACCGAGCGTCATCTGAAAGCAGGCAGATGTGGTCGGCTACGTGGTCAACCAGCACACCCTCTCCGTCAGACGTGTTGTGGGCTGTGCCATCCACAGAGAGATCTACATGGGCTTTGTGATCTGCATATGTTGATATCATGCACTGGCCGTGCTATAATCTTAGAGAACAAACATCTCTGCGCTTGTTTTTAGTACTCGTGACAGTTTTCCGTTGAGAACTTGTGAGCGAAACTTTCTTATTGTTTAGGGCGGGGTATTAACCTGGAGCAAGCGTCGGCAAACTCGAGAGATTTGGAGGGATGCGAAGAGACTTCAGCTTCAATCTTCAGGAGCTCGATCTACAGACAGGCCACCTGTACCGTGACAACATAGGGGTATATTCCAGATCCATCCGATCGCAGAACCTGGATATCTCTGCTATCTCGCTGAACGTACATTTGGAATGGGTCTCTGGATACCGACGAAATGACAGCTTATTTTCTCAAAGCTATATGAGCATTCTGCTGCTTGCTTAGAAGGATCAAATAACTCATCTCCGATACAATGTCTTCCAGTGTTATGTTTATCCACGACGTACTTTCGTACAATAAACACATTTCTGCCCGCCTAACTTACGCGCAATTTTGAGCCGGCCTAACAGCAGCCTCTTCTTACTTCTACCTTCCAAATGCAACGTGTCAGCCATTCACGCTGCCTTGGCAATGCCCCTGTTTATTCGGGCAGACCTAGGTAATGTAGACATCTGTGAGACTAACCCAAGATTGGCTGGTGACTGTACTCTAGGTATCAAAGCATCGTTCCTGCTGCCTGTGGAAATCTTTTCTAGCATCACCGCGTCTCCGAAATTGGTGCTGTTAGTTACAATATCGTTAGTTTTGTATATACCTTGAGCAGGGTCGCTCTAGAAACTCGCCGCCTTCGCACGACTACAAGGCAAGCGTTCCGCCAGCATGGGCCGTGTCAAAGAAGGGAGCCGCTGTTTGATCTGTGGAGAACGCCGGTCCGGCCGCACACGACGCATACAACAAGATCGAGGATTCATAGAGCAGATCTGCTCGAGGCGGACGTGCGCCGAAGTTAAACGCCGGCTGCAGAACGCTGTTAGCATGAGTAGTAAGGCTGGCAGCCTAATCATCGAGGTTCACCACTACCACCACGCCAGTCGCATAGATGAAGTTGGCTTCAACCGGACGCAAACCTCCTCCTCGGAGCTTCATGCTGATTCTCTTGCGAAGAGCGGTGGGGTGCTACCGGTCCGCGGCGAACCTCCTTGCGTCGAACCGCTTACTAAACCGTCCGAGGATGTTGTGAGGCAGCGACTCGACGACAGAGCTCGATAGGCCGTGACTAGGGTTTTCAGGCGTAAACGAGATGTTTTTTGTTCTTAGTCTCTAGAACTAGATCTACTAAATTAAAAAACTGTTCCACTCGATGAAGTGACAAGCATATCTCGAGATTGATCAAAACAGACGTAACTGTGGTATGAACCCAGTCGAATGGGTTCTTCAGCGATAATCCAGCAGAATCCATAGCCATCCAGCCAAACTCCGACGGCATTACTGCCTGTAAAAGCAAAATCATCCGCGCCAACGACGAAAGACCCTGCTATGTCTCTCTTGCTAGTACCACTAGAAAGCTGACTTAAACCCAGGGACAGCATTAGCACGTGCGTGATTATCTGCTTAGGGTTCGCATTCGGATCTACCTAATAACGTTAGCGCGACTATGCATCTCGAGACATATAACTTACGTCTTGATGCTAACGGCTTGCAGAAGGCTGTAGTTCCTGTGTATGCTGCGATGTCTCTCGTATCAACGACACTTCATATCGACCTGACTTCCGAAGTGGAAAACTGCGCTGTGTGCTCAACAGTCCTCAGAGAAGGAGGCGGGAAGGCGGGCCTTGTGTACGTGTTGAAGGATTGCCGCTGCGTGAGTTAGTCTATCCTAATGTCGTATCGCATTGTTGACAGTGAAAAGGTCATCTGCGGTCTCTGTGTACAGTTTCCTGGTACTCCGCCTTTTCTCCCCTGCCAACACACCGACCACCTGGACTTAGGGTAGCAAAGGCCGCTGCGACTCTACAATCTCAAGTGCGCTATCTGTCTAGATTTAGACGACGCTACACGCATTGCTCTAATATGCGGTACGTTTACGTGTTATGCAGAGGCACTAGCTAACAACTAAGGCCACGTGTTTTGTCGAGCCTGTATTCTCCAGTGGGCTAGATTGAACTCAGATTCGCATGAGACCAACTTGGCTTGTCCGAGCTGTAGGAATAGTAGGACCAAGCTGTGGCGGCTGTCAACACACGATCACGTTGTGATGCCTGCACAGCGAGGTGTGGAGATTGCGTCGCCATGTAGCAGTCTATAGATGTGTGCCCAGATGACTCTGCTTTCCTGTCTGCAGCTCTTGCAAGAACTTTTATGTAGATGGCTGCTTCGATAATGCGAAATATTGTGCAGAGACTAATCTCTTTGTAGTAGAGAAGTGTAGCATGGACTGATGTCTAGTAATTAGAAGAGTGACATCTGACCAAACCATGTTAGCTTTTGTAAACAAGCGTATGATCGACTGGGCACTCTATTTTCTGTTGCTTCTACAGTCCTAGTATGGAGCAGATATACACACGGTTACTTATCTTTGCTATTAGGTTTGTAGGCAAACTACTCTTAGTATTGCAAATGGGTGGATCACTATAGCATACAGACGCATACATAGTCTTGAATGCATCTTGTTATTAGTACGCCACTTTCGAATGACACTGTACAGTGTACAGTTCAAAACCTCTGTCGGAACATTCTAAACTAGACTAAGCTTAGCAATAGACAGGCGGTATTATAACCTCTACTGCACGCTTCACTTAGCGCTTACTTTAACCCATTTCTCAGTACTGCATTCAATAAACAACACCTGCACTGACATCTATCTGCGTCAGCTCAGCAAGCTTAAACTCGTCGAAGAAAAGGCCTTTCTATGGTTCTGTGAGCCATTGATCGCATTCGTACTACGCTACAGCATGCATGCAATATACGTTTTCCTAGCAGTGTTGGCGGTCGCGACTCGAGCCCACATGTCGCTGTGGTATCCGCCCCCTCTAGGTGGCAGTCTGGAAGCAAACCCCTTGACGACGCAGGTGGACAACGAACTCAACTTTCCCATCGGATGCTGTGATTCTGACGGCAGGCCAACACTACCCTCTCCCGGAGACTGCCGTGGCCATCTCGATCTTCTGGACACAGAAGAAGGCCGGCCGCAGGTAGCATGGGAACTAGGCCAGGACGCATACTTCCAGCTGTCTGATTACACGTACACCGCTGATGCTCTAGGATTGACGCACTATGGCGGAAGCTGTCAGATCGGCTTCTCCGTGGACAGAGGCCAGACTTAGAAAGTCGCAGCTTCGTACCATAGGAACTGCCCCTACCGACAGGAGAACGATCCCTAGGTCTTCTACTTTAAGGTTCCTCTAAACATGCCAAGCGGGCCAGCTGTCTTTGCTTAGATCTAGCTGAATTGAGAGCACGAGTCTTTCATGAACTGTGCCTCAGTTCAGATCGGTGCAGGCTCTGGCAGAAACACTACACCCGTTGATCCGAGTAGTATGGGTGATTCGATCATGTACTACACTGCACCCGCGACTCCTACGGGTGAAGTTTCGATAGAAAGAGAACGACATAGGTCGGGTGATTGCGATCAAAACTTGACTAGCCGCAACATTTCGGGCGATGCGAGTGTGACTGGAAGTCGGTCGAATCGCATCAAGCATCGCCACAGCAAAAAACACGCTTGATACTACTACTATGTGCGCAAAACTCATAGACATCTATCGTCTCGAGAGCACCGCCGCAGGCCAGACAGTCTGGCTTCTGATGCTTGCGATTGGAATGCCGCGCCCTGAATGGAAACTAGCTACTACTCCACGGGCGCTAGCTGCGCTCCCGACGCCAAGCTGAACAACCTAGAGAGCGATGACTTTGAGATTGGCTGGAGCGATGCTTGCGGCATCGTTAAGGGGGATGGAGAGTATACTATTCATAACATCGAGTGTTAAGCCTAGAGCACAGTAGATAGCTAGTTCGTGGCATAGAGATGTTGTGCTCCAGGAGGATTCTTTAGAGTTCGTCAGCAGCTCGAAGATCACTCTTCGGGCTTGATTGTCAATAAACGTATTCTCTCGATATACTGTACTCGGTTATCTCCTCTGAAACGCCGACAACACTCTTCATCCTTTCGCAGGGACGATCTCAAAACTTTTTGGACTGCCCTTACAGCCTCACTTTTGTGGAGTAATGTAACGGTTTGGGCCTTGCCCAGATCAACTCTAGTACGAGTTAGGATAGCTCATGTACGGTCATCTATATATGTAGCTTAGCCCACCTCAGATAGCCAATTCAGCGCAGTCCTCCCCTCTATCTTACACAGTCCGCAACAAGCAATCCAGATTGGTTTGCTTGCTTGACTTGCTTGACTTAATCAATTCAATCAAGTCAATCTGAGCTCACCTAAATTAGCAAGCAAGTCAAGCCGAGAAGTGATTTTTGATTAACTTGCTTGTCTTGCTTGTTAACTACAAGAGATTTATGAGGTTTCTAGAGTAGCTAGAGAGCCTATCTTACGATACCTTCTTGGTGTTGCAGTTAGCCTCTGAAGTCTATCCTAAATTAGACTAGACCTATCCGTGCACTCGTACTGTGCTACATCACACAACAACGTGCTATCGTCTGCAGTACGCTTTTAAAGCTTCTACTGTTATTATTATTGCCTATATTAACGCGTTTTTTTTTAGTGTTTTTAGTCGCTCGCAATGACTAAGCGCTCTTGAGCCCTCTCTACTAGCACCGCTGCTACGCCTCCTACGAAACGTACGCGCCTATTAAAGCCCTTATCTTAGCGCTCCTCTTAACAATTACTATTACTACGGCAAGCCCTAGCTACTGCGAGTTAGGCTACAACGTTTGAGTCGCAGTTCTTGG